ACACGCTTGACCGCTGGACGTCTGATCATCTACAACGTGATCTCAGCCGCCAACTCTCGCTATGCCATGAAAATCGTTCACACTGACTGTCAGGAGTTCTTTGAGGTCGGCCTGCAAAATTGCAACATCACTCAGCAGTGGAGAGACGCAGCGCTGTTGGTAGACAGCATATGTCGAACGGTGCTTTATTTTGACAACAACTCCTTCTGGGAAAACTACAACGGCGCCATAGGCTTCGGCAGGATATCGAAATGCCAGATATCGGTTACAAATAACCTGTTCTACAAAAATAAGGGCAACGTGATCAGGTTCCACCAGCTTCTTAGCAAAAACAACATCATCTTCGAAGGCAACCGATTCGATCTCAACTACCTCAACGCTCTGACACCGCCACAAGCCGCGCTGCATATCGTCTATCGAGGCAATGCGCAGGACCTGTCCAATCTGGCGGTGATCAACAATTCATTTCGCAAAAATACACTGACCAACATAATATCGCTGAAACTGATTGACGGTGCTCAGGTGACCTCCAAAACGGGACTCACCTTTCAGTTCCACAGGAACAGCCTCACCGAAAACCTGAGTCCCGTCGTGATGTTCGTCGACGTTCCGACCGCTGCCATTTCTTGGAACGTTTTCGCCAATCCGTTCAGCGACTATGAATTAATGAGTGGCGTGGCGAAGACAAAGTCTGATCTTCAGGCAGCATACAATTACTGGGGGACAGGTGATGAGATTCGCGCACAGGAGCGCCTGTACGACCGCCGAATGAATTCTTCTCTGATGGCAATCAACATCATGCCGATGATAAAAGACGAGCAGCAACTGAAAGATATTAAAAGAGCAAATCGCAGCCGTTTCGTACTCGATTTCTTCGATGGTGTATTTGAAAACGGTTCGTTCGAAGTCCCAGAGAGAACGCAGCCATTTCTGATTAGAAATTCAATAACAATTGGGTAAGTCATGAATTATAATTTGCCGAATGAATACTTACCAGTAACAGGCATAAAAACAGCCTTATTATTTCATACACATACACACGATAACAATTTTATTATAAACTGATATGTATCCTATAATAATAAAGGATACGAACATTTATTACAAGTGCATAATTAGTTTGGAATATATTCGCTGCCATGGCTAAAGATCCAAATTCTGCCAAAGGCAAAAATGTGCAGTGACTTCTGAAACAGTACTGTATCATGGAAAATTCAAGTCTATATTTCTTCATGGGTAATCACGGTTAAAAAAGAGGCCTATTTATTCGACATTTAACATAATCAGTCGATCAGTTTTGATGACTAATTGTCCTTTTTGGGCTACAGAGGCAGATAGCTTGATACAGTATCTCCAATGCCAGCAGTTGAGCTTCGGAAGCAAGTAGCTGTAGTGTGGAGCAGAATCCTTCCACACACTTCCACCAGGGTTTTCTTAGCCGTACGCGGGGTCTCCGAGAGCGGTTGGCTGGAAAAAAAATAGCTGTTTTGCCTTCCTTTCTGAAAGCATTCGCAACACATGCCAAAATCATCGTATCTGTGACTTCTTAATCTATTTAACATAATTCAAAATAATAATCTATCTAGATGATAAATGCCTCATTTCGATCTGTACCTCACCTAACTGCTTCGGTATAAACATTTCTGTCGTTCTGCTTAGTGGTCTGTCTCCATAGCCGCTGTCATTCGAGCTGGAAACAAATAAAATAACCAAACATATTTGCATAGAAAAAATCATAGAGATATAAATTAAAGCGTTGGCGTTGGTTAAGTTGATCACCTTGAATCGTTCACATAGCACAATGTGACCGCTTCGTCATGTCCGATGAATCAGTAGCTTTCCAAACACCGGTAACTGCATCGTACAAAGAAATGTTCCTCGACAGCAGATCTGCCTCTACCTCGTTCGTCCTCGTTGCATGCTAGCCTCATGGTCGATTTCTGACGTGTTCCGTCTCCCATACGAGAAGGTCACGAGCTCGAGTAAATGGTGGATGCTCAATCCATTTCTCTAAAAGGGTCATCCTCCTATTCTTAATCTCCTCATCTACTGTGTGCCTGGAAAAGGAAAGTCATTCCTTACGATTCAACCTTCACAATACATCAAACTCGATGTTGCTTGCTATACTACGTATTTGAAGCACTGTTCTTGTTATTTCGTTAGAACTACTAATGCCATGGAGATTGATGTGACAGAGGCAAGGAACAGGCCGATTTTTCTGGAAATAATAACTCATTTGTCAGCCCAAATATTGGACAGGTTTCCGAAAGCACTTGAGGCTACGACCATCCTTCAATTTAACTCCGACTGGATAGTGCCTTTGTCGGAGATGATGGAGCCAAAATACTTAAACTGGTCAACATCCTGAAAGGTTTTACCTCTCCGTTCCACCTGTAGATCAGCTGTGCTTGAGAGGAGGTAGATGACAACTTTTGATTTCTTGGCATTAACGAAGAGACAGGAATTCGCAGATTTGTTATGCACATCGATGTTGGCGTGTTAACACAGTGTCGTGTCTACGAGATCCGCTCGAACTCCAGAGGTAACGAGTTCGATTCCGCTCGAAGGCTACCTTTGTCTTATTCATGAATTCCGTTGAGCAACGAATTTACAATACATTTCTTCAGACCGGAGTTGCTAAGTCGGTAGAGCGTCTAATTCAGAACCGATGGGTCCAAGTTCAAGCCTCGGCAGGGGTAACTCACTTTTCTACCTTCTGACGTTGATATATGAGTATCACTCTGTGGGAAGGAAACAGAAGATTGCATACGTATGCCACATAACTGTATATTCTGCCTTTAATAAAAATAAGGCAATCCTGTTAGTGGCATAGTAACGGAGATCAGCTCCACGTTATCAACTTCATGAAAGAAGGATGCCTAAATGTCCCAATCATGAATTCGGACCTATATTGCAACAGTGACAAACTTTCTTCATTTCATTATATGCAGATCAAAGTACTGCTACGCCATATCTATCCGATAACCTACAATTTTGCACTGCATTAAACATGCATCTTGTTTTCTAGTACCTCACTGAGCGGCAAATTCACCATAACATGCTAGGTAAACAGCGTGAGACATAAGGCATCTATTACAGGGCCAAATGGGCGAGCGAAATCGCATATCAACCATGGTAGTGATAAGGAATCCAAGCAGCAAACTTATTTCATTTGCGGAAGACATTATCATAGCATGTTTACCTCAATTAGCTGCTGTTAACAGAGCCCAAAGAAATATGGGACTCCAAATAAGACGAACAGTGACCGGAAAAGAGGCAAGGAGCAAGTGACCCAGAGTGAAAAGGACGGAGCAGTCGTTGAGGCATGCTGTTGCTTGCTGATATGTAGCCAAATTAGCAGTTAAACAATCCATGGCAAAGCAATGTGGTTCCAATGCCGGTCAGTATTATTTCTTGTCCAACAGAGACGAAAGGACGATTTATAATTATTTAGAGAAAATTCTTAATGCTTCTGTTCCGATTAATGATATGAACATTCGTTATCTACAGACGTTTGCCGTAACCAAGGTCAATAAACGAGCTATGATAATTCTGGCATTCTCCGTCATTACTTTTTCACCAATCAATACCTCAAAAAATTGTCTAACTCGCTGTCGAACGATGACCGGTCCAAACGCTGCTGTGTCCCCGGGTTTACTAACATCTCTCCAGTGTAAGTGAATGGATATTGCCTTGTAGAAAAGGAACAAACGACGAAACGCTATAGACCTTGTCTTCACAATGAAAGCAGTCTGCATGAAGGTATGAAAATGAATATCAACGATAAATGACTAAAAACTCTGTGAAAGAAGGGCAGCAAAAATAATGCAGATCATTGAAAGGTTAAGGAAATCAGCATACAAATGGTTAAAAATTTATTTGAGTTGAGTTCATACCGATCTTCACTATTTACAGGAAATCTCAGGACATGTAAGCAGATGTCCGTATTTACAATTATGTTAATTGTAGCGTACAAAATTCCGTTATTAAAAGTTTTACTCCAATCTTAACTTTACGTTGCGATTCTGTCCATGTTCGATAACTCATCAAATTGCACAGAACTGGATTAACTTAAGCGCGTTATTTCAAGCCCCGGTGCCGTGGTGACCATTAGTCCTGGAAATGTGCTCGAGTTTCTGCCGCACACCAGCTTTCTGATACACGGAACACTCACAGCCAAAGGGCGACCGGAAAAGCCGATCATATTTCGTTCAGCTTCAAATCGACCTTGGTTGGGAATTATTTTCGAGGAGGAAGGTAAGTTGAGTTTTTAACTTGTTTTACTATATCTATTTTTCATATGCAGATATTATGATGCTCTTTCATTATTATTTTTCTACTCATTTTGTTAAACAGTATTCTTGAACTTGCAAAAGTCTTTGGGCTATCTGAACATGGCACATTATGAACTATACCATTCACTGATACCGTTTGAAAACGCCTTCTAGACGGAACATAAAACAACGCGACTGACTGATAATGTCATTTATTGATTTATTATATTGATTATATTCTATTATATTAAAATTTTTATTTCTATCAGGCTCCATAAAATAAATGCACGGCGATTGGCATGAGCTTCACTTCGGTTCGAACCTGTTTCAAGGGTTAAGAATCAGTAACACTTTTCATAAACACGTGTTCTTGTTGATGGACTCTTTTCACTGCTTCGAGGGCATCAGTCGTCAGTCATTACAGAAATTATTCTCACCTTCACTCTCTTTCGTATTTCCATCCTCAACTGTGGATATTTCATTATCTTTCCTCCCTCCTT